GTGTGTGTGTGTGTGTGTGTGTGTGTGTGTGTGTGTGTGTGTGTTATAAGAAAGTCTTCCTGCGCTGCTGTGCTGGTGTTTTACAGATCTGTCTCACGAATAAAGCTGCTGTTATTCACCTCCCTGCTCACTCTGAATCTGAGAGCGTGGAGCTGGAGGAGAAGGGCTCTCGCAGACAGACGAGAGTTGGGCAGAGTAGAAATGACCGTCTTGGTGCAGAAAGGAAGGGTGTACAGGACGCAGATGGCACAGGACTGCCCCCTGCTGGTGGTGTGTCCAGTGTGCCCCTTTAGGACTTTTAGGTGGACCTCTGATGTAGTCTAGTTTCTGGTCAAGACTTAAACATGTTTTCCTAAATGAAAACAATCGGAAAACGCAGATAGATCCTGCTGCCACCATTCTTCCTTTGGGCCTCGGTGAGTGCTGAGTCTGAAGCAGTTCCTTCCTAATGGTTAGAAACTTTGCAAAAGCTCCTCAATTCTCTTTCTATCACAGCGTGGATGTGACAGTGCAAGCTGAAAGAAGATTAAAAAATGCAAGGTTTTACAATTCCAGGAAGACTGAAAGTCACTGTTTGGTATGTGTACCTTCATTTTCTAGACCAGCTTTATGTCTTTTCTCTAAATAGTCTTCATGAATAGTTCTCCAGGCTGCTTACAGGACAGCCCAAAGCTCTTAAAATCTATTTTCTGGGCTTTGGGGAGGATTCATCCCTCCATCAGACCTGCTGCTACTTCTCTTGTCTTTTTGCATAAGCAGTTCTCCCCGTTTCCCTTCCTTAAGAACGGCTTCTTCACTGTAACCTTTCATTTGGTTCACTTTTAAACAATCTTTTTTTCATGACAAAGTAAAGAACAGTGGTATATAACCCAAACTAAACTGGATTAAACATAAGACTAGGTTATTGAAACAAATTCTACATAGTTCTACTCAAATATAAAAACCATTGTGGTAAATAAGAGGATTAGGCAAAGAAAAGGAAAAAAAACTACTACCCATGGATGTCTGAAACATCCCCCCGTTAATTCAGCCATTGTAGTCCCAATGAAAGCACTCCCATACCATGGTTTTGTTCAGGAATATATTTTAATTCTATACAAAGTTGGCAGATTAAAGAGTACCTCCACATATCTGGGCTCCTTTTTTCGAAAAAGACACTATGACAGAAAAAAGTCATGCCTGGTAATACAAACACTGAGAGACAAAGTCAGATCTCACATAAATACTACAGGGATTGGACAATGAAACTGAAACACCTCTCATTTTAGTGTGGGAGGTTTCATGGCTAAATTGGACCAGCCTGGTGGCCAATCTTCATTAATTGCACATTGAACCAATAAGAGCAGACTGTGAAAGTCCAATTAGCAGGGTAAGAGCACAGTTTTTGCTCAAAATATTGCAATGCACACAGCATTATGGGTGAAATACAAGAGTTCAAAAGAGGACCAATTGTTGGTGCACGTCTTGCTGGCAC